GATAAGTTGAGGCTGGTAAGGTATACAGAGATGACTTTCTCATTGTTGGGACTACAAAGGATACCAGTCCAATTGCAAGGATTGGGATGTAATGGATTCCAGTTTTGGAGGTTGTGAAAAGGGTCATCAAGAGATTTTTTGAACTGTAGAAGGATATTTCCTTCTTCATTCAGTGATTGAGCCAAAAAGATTAGGCAGCTGAACAGTGTAGCAGAGTGAAAATTCTTTAGGACTCCCATTAGTGATAATAGAGAAAGAACTTAAAGATCAAAAGTGGAAACTTTCTTTTGTGGGAGCACTTAAAGATTCATCAACAAGTTGTTTGATCAACTGAATAACTACAGAGAAATTATTATTACTTTAGCCTCAGGACTAATAACTAAAAGAGCATGATTGATAGACAGGTGAAAAAAAGGCCAAGAATTTGATGACCCTAATTAGTGGCAAACTGAATTGGAAAGAAGGGTATATAGGGAAAGTGAAAAAGAAACAAGCTTTGAATCTTTTATGCCAATTATAAGCTTATAAACCAAAGAAAAATGCAGGGGAAAGGAAGAAAGAAATAAGACACAAGTCCTCAAACTAATAGGGAGAAATGAAATTCCACTTTCTACCCTATTAAAAGATTGAAAGAAATTGACAAGACAATGAACAAGAGATGAACCATGAATGTCACAATCCTAAGAACATGAAAGAATTAAAAGGGGTCAACCATATATACTCAATGAAAGGCAAAACAAAAATTATTGAATATAAATTTGTGCTGCAGCATGTGAATGAATCCCTTTTTTTTTTCTTTTTTTTTTTGAGTGCTTAATTCTGAACCTCCACACAACCACCATCCCTCTTGCTCCTCCTTTTTTTCTTGTTCTATAAGGGCCATCATTTCTTTAACTCCATTATTGCAAGAAACTTGTATAAATCCAAAAAACCCCAAAGGAAAAATAAAATAAAATAAAGGAGTGCTTTACACTATATATATGTATCTGCCCCAACTAGTGGAGACATGGATAGAAATAAGACATGGGAAAATACAAAGATTACACAATCTTATTGCCATTTCAATTTTGATTTTTTTTTCTGGGCCAGACAATTTGGAATGAGAATTTTGACAAACATCTGGTGTGCATATCAAATTCTTAATGTATATAATTCTTTTTTACTTTTTCCTCTTGTTATGTGAGCATTAAAATTGGTCTAGAAATGTCATGATTTGCATGAGGACTATGAAAGTAGGTGGGGGTGAGCTTAGTGGATTACTGAGTTGGAGCATTAATTTTAGCCTACTTTTTTATGACTGTTCTTTGGGGGTGTTGGGTTTGGCAACCTTGGAAAATTGCCATGGCACCCAGTGGGATTATATCAGGTGACGTTTGCAGATTTGCAAGTGACGTCATCTT